GTCACCAAAGAATCCCACCCCCCCACCCACACACACACTGCAAATGAGGCAGAAATATTGGTCCAGGATGACCCCAGCCCTTGCAGCAACACAGCAGTGGACGCAGCTGAAGGGAGGGGATTTGTAAGATTGCTGAAAGGAACAGGTATCTGTCAGGGATAATGCAGCCAGCATTACAGCTCAAAGCCAGCATTACAAATCTGTCCCGTTATTATAATCTCGTGTGTGATGGTGTGGAAGCCCAGAAGACACAGTCAGAAAGGGCCTTACTTGTGTGTTGTGCTGAGTGCCATCAAGTCGCCTCCGAATTATGATGACCCTATGAATTAATGTCCTCCAAAATGCCCTATCATTAACAGCCATTCTCAGGTCTTGCAGACTTGAGGGCTGTGGCTTCCTTTACTGGGCTCTTGCTTACCTGAGACAAATTTATCCCATGTGTGCGTGAGCAGCACAGACGCTTCCGGAGAGCTCCCCACACCTGCAAGGAAACACACTAACCTTGGGTGCCAGCAGAGGAAGACAAAGTTGACAGGTTCCTGGCCATGGACATTTCTCTTTTGCGGTGTCACTGAAGTCTAAACAGGTACCCCTTAGTAGTTGCCTGCACCTTCCATACTGGGGCACTTTGGTACAAAGGAGCTACTTATACCCATTCAAATTAGGCATTGATTCCCTCAAGCTTTTAAAAAAAACAACCAGGGAGCAAAATGGACTGGCTTTTTTTTTATTTTGAAAGCCAAAAATATTGCTTGAGAAATTACAATTTTAAAACAAAAGCCAGCAGGTAACCTGTTGATTGAATGTTCATCCGGTGAAGGCCTAGCAGAACAGAGAACGAGGTTCAATTGCAACCCACTCCCTCCTGGTCTAGTTTTCTACGTGCGGGGAGCATTTGAAAATGCAATTCCTCACCTGTGCTCTAGAGGGATGTCCTCCATTCTACTGCTTCAGGCCTTGACTGCCTCTGACTGCTGCATTTGTAGACCATGGTACTTGTGCAGGAAAAGATGCATGCATTTCCCGCCTGTCAGCCTGTGCGGTATTTTCCCCGCAGGGGCAGGCTTGTATGATTTCCCTGATGTCGCTGATACAGTGCAGCAGTAACAGGGCTCCCACGGGGCAACTTTCCTTTTTGTTTCCTACGGCCTGCCCCAGTTACCTGGCAGTGGCCATTCCCCTGCTACTAGGGCCTTTCCAGATCTTTTAAAAATGGCAATTGACTATCATTATAATGTGTGGTGTATCAGGTTCTCTAAATTCTCAGCTTTCTTTAAAAAAAAAACACACAAAGGAACTATCTAGCCCTTTTGTTGCAGAGGTATGCCTTTCCCTTTAGATCTCTACACTGAAAGGGGAAAGAGACTAACTTTTTAAAAATGGAAGCTGGGAATTCAGCAGACCTGATATGCAGATGACTATAAAGTTATAATGATACTGAAGGGTTGCCACAACCCAAGGAAAATGGCTGCCCTATGGATGGGACCAGAAGCATCTGAACTTTCCCACTCACACAAGAGCCATCCAGACTTTACTATTTATCTTTCCCAAAACTTTGCAGCGAGCGAAATGTGGAAAAGATCAGAGAAAAGCCAGGAGGTGCATGAATGCGTCATGATGATGAAGGGAAGCAGGAAGAAAACTTTCTCAACAGCCTCAAACCCATGTGGGAAAGGGCAGGGTCAGCAAATCCACCACTTCTTGTGCTTTGGAACAGGCCATTTAGGGTTGCCAACATCCAGGCGGGGCCCCAAGTTCTCCTGGAATTACTACTGGTCTACAGTTC